CCCCTTTACAGAATCATACTAACTCTACCCAAATGCATTACGATTTTCTAAAGTGCCCAAACATAAACTCCTTAATATTAGCTTCCAGCATTTCCCGGTGACTGATGTCAAGCTGTAATGATTTCCCACTTTCTGCCTCTGTCCTTTCTTGAATAGTGGAAAATAATATTTGATGGAACTTTCTTAGGGATCTAGGGAATTTTGAAAAATTGGGTGTACTGCGCCTATTATGTCAATAACCATTTCTGTAAGACTCTTGGATGATATCTTTAGGACTCTTGTGGACTTGACTTTTAGTTTTAGTAATTTTCTCAGTCCTTTTCCCAATCTTTGTTATTGTTTTCAGTTCACAGGATCTCAGGATTGTTACAGTGCAGAAGGAAGCCATTCAGCCCTTCATATCTACACCAGCTGTCTAACAAGCATTATGAATTAGTGCAATTCTCCTGCCTTTTCCCTATACCCTAGCACATTATTTCTATTCAAGTATTTATCAACACCCTCTTCAAAGCCTCAGTTAAACCTGCCTCCACTTTACTTCTAAGCAGTGCATTCCAGACTCAACCACTCATGTGAAAAAGTCTTTTTTTTCCATATCATATTTACTTGGTTTACAAATCACTTTAGATCTGTGCCTTCTCATTCTCAATCCCTTTACAAATGGGAAGTTTCTCCCTATCTATCCAGATTTCTCATAATTTTGAGAAATTCTCTTAGCCTCCTTCTCTGCAGGGAGGAAGAGTCCCAATCTTTCCAATGTTGCGAAGTTGGGTAGAGTATTTACAGATTTGAAGGCAAGATGTTAGAATTTGATGCTTGTAAAATGATAGCAGGGATGAGTGTGTGGTCCCTTTAAAAGATAATTTTTTTTAGGCTTGGAGATTTTTAAAAATGTGTCTGCAGGCAGCCGCAGATGCACAGAGAGTTCTTGAAATTGAAACTGAAACATTATATCAAAAGGCTATAGTATAAGCAGGTAAAACAGCATTTTTACTAAGACAACAGGTTCTTGAATTTAGCTAGCTAATTTAAACCAGGCCCTAGGTATCAAAACCAAATTAAGTTTAAATCTGATGGTTTTGACAACCTAGGAACAATCCAATTGCAAGAAATTAATAGGTCATCAAGGGTATAAAAGAAGAGGGCATTTGAAAATTGGTGTGAGAGCAACTGCCATCTGTTAAGAGAGCAGCTGTCAACAGCCATCAGCTCTAAAGAAAGAGAAAGTCATGGCTCTTACAGAAATCTCTAACCTCTCTGAGTAAGCACCATCTAAATAAAGGTACTACAGCACCCTTAGCTAATATTCCTGACACAAGAATTTGACAAAAAAAGGCATTCCTGAGAGAGGAATTTGACGGAGAAAGGCATTCCTGACTGGAGAACAGTGGAGAAGGCAAAGAACATTCTGGAAGACTTATCCTGGCTGTAATTTTGAGAGACCAAGTTTTAATTTATTTTTCTTATTACTTTGGTTTATATAAATGGGACTTGCATTTACTGGAACAGCGTACCATTAGAATTTTGTTTATTTGGCAACAGTTAGTAGTTAAGGGGGAATTGTTTGGTTTGTTAGTAGTTCTGTTAATTTGTTTACTGTTAGAATTAGATAAGTAGTTACTTGTTAATTATAAAGTGAGTATCAGGGATTTATTTCATTTAACTACTCCTTTATAACAGATTGGGTGGGGGATGAAAGGCAGGTTATACCACTTTCCCCACCTTCCTTTAACAGATTATGACGCAGGGCAAGCTTCTCTGGGTGTTTCGGTTTTAGTTACCAGGGGGTGGGGTGTTAACATCTGCTTCGCAACACCAATCTATCCTCATAACTGGAATTTTTCATCCCTAGAAATATTTGTGCAAATGTCTTCTGTACTCTCCAATGCATTTACATCATTCCTATGTGACACCTAGAATGTACACAATGTTTCAGCTGAGGCCTAGTGATTGTCTTGTAAAGTGTAGCTTAAACCCCTTGCTTCTGTACTTTATGCCACTGTTAACAAAGTTCAGGATACTGTATACTTTTCGATTGTTCCACTTGTCCTACCACCTTCAGTGACCTACACGCATATGCACCCAGGTTCCTCTGCTCCTGCACCCCCACTCCCTTAAATATAATATTCTGAAATAGAAAATTTTCAACCCTTTGATCCCTTAAAGACCAAACAAGACTTAGGTTCCTTTGTCTTAATGTTTATTCATGCATGTGTGGGAGGTGTACCCATCAAAGATGGTACATAACTGATTTGCTACAAAACAATGGTTTTAAAATATTTTTACAGACAACAGTTTTCCAATAAAAGATTATATATTCCCGTCTCTTTCTGACAGTGTTCATTCAAACTTACATTCTAAGTTAGTACATGTGACCAAATTATACAATTATATTCAAATTTATACACCATTATATAATTCAATCAAATCCAAATGTCCATGAGTATGTTATCGTATCGAATCATTACATGTTCATATCTACTGACTGTAAGTATGCACTTTATCAAAATTTTATTGTCTTTTACACCCTTTATACTATCTGTTCACATTCTTCCTACCAAAATGCATCACCTCACATTTCTCTGCATTAGGAGCCAAGTTAAAACGTAGGACCTCAGAGATAGTAATCTCAGGATTGCTACCAGTGCCACGTGCTAGTCAGAGTAGAAATGAAAGAATAGGCAGGATAAATGAATGGCTTGAGAGATGGTGCAGGAGGGAGGGGTTCAGATTTTTGGGACATTGGGACCGGTTCTGGGGGAAGTGGAACTATTACAAATCGGACGGTCTAGACCTGGGCAGGACTGGAACCAATGTCCTAGGGGCTGCTTTTGCTAATGCTGTTGGGGAGGGTTTAAACTAATGTGGCAGGGGATGGGAACCAAATGAGGAGGTAAGTGGACAGTAAGGAGGTAGTAACTAAAGCCTGTAAGGAACTAGATAATGAAGTCAGTGTGACTAAGGGGAAGAGTAGGCAGAGAGCAGATGATGAACGCAGAGGGACAGGTGGTCTGAGGTGCATTTGTTTTAATGCGAGAAATGTAGTAGGTAAGGCAGATGAACTTAGGGCTTGGATTAGTACCTGGGAGTATGATGTTATTGCTATTACTGAGACTTGGTTGAGGGAAGGGCAAGATTAGCAACTATATATCCCAGGATATAGATATATCGGGAAAGTAGGACCAATCTGAAACAAGGAATTAAGAGGGCTAAAAGGGGTCATGAAATATCTTTAGCAAACAGGGTTAAGGAAAATCCCAAAGCCTTTTATTTGTACATAAGGAGGAAGAGGGTAACTAGAGAAAGGGTTGGCCCACTCAAGGACAAAGGAGGGAAGTTATGCGAGGAGTCAGAGAAAATGATTGAGATTTTTAATGAGTACTTTGCGTCGGTATTCACTGAGGAGAGGGACACGACGGATGCTGAGCTTACGGATAGATGTTTGATTACTCTAGGTCAAGTCGGCATAAGGAGGGGGTAAGTGTTGGTATTCTAAAAGGCATTAGGGTGGACAAGGCCCAACATCCGAATGGGATCTATCCCAGGTTACTGAGGGAAGCGAGAGAGGAAATAGCTGGGGCCTTAACAGATATCTTTGCAGCATCCTTGAGCACGGGTGAGGTCCCGGAGGACTGGAGAATTGCTAATGTTGTCCCCTTGTTTAAGAAGGGTAGAAGGATAATCCAGGTAATTATAGACCAGTGAGCCTGATGTCAGTAGTAGGGAAGCTGCTGGAGAAGATACTGAGGGATAGGATCTATTTACATTTGGAAGAAAATGGGCTTATTAGTGACAGGCAGCATGGTTTTGTGCAGGGAAGGTCATGCCTTACCAACTTGATAGAATTCTTTGAGGAAGTGACAAAGTTAATAGATGAGGGAAGGGCTGTGGATGTCATATACATGGACTTCAGTAAGGCGTTTGATAAGGTTCCCCATGGTAGGCTGATGGAGAAAGTGAAGTCGCACGGGGTCCAGGGTGTACTAGCTAGATGGATAGAGAACTGGCTGGGCAACAGGAGACAGAGAGTTGTAGTGGAAGGGAGTTTCTCAAAATGGAGAACTGTGACCAGTGGTGTTCCATAGGGATCCGTGTTGGGACCACTGTTGTTTGTGATATACATAAATGATCTGGAGGAAGGTATAGATGGTCTGATCAGCAAGTTTGCAGATGACACTAAGATTGGTGGAGTAGCAGATAGTGAAGGGGACTGTCGGAGAATGTAACAGAATATAGATAGATTGGAGAGTTGGGTGGAGAAATGGCAGATGGAGTTCAATCCAGGCAAATGCGAGGTGATGCACTTTGGAAGATCCAATCAAGAGCAAACTATATGGTAAATGGAAAAGCCCTGGGGAAAATTGATGCACAGAGAGATCTGGGTGTTCAAGTCCATTGTATCCTGAAGGTGGCAACGCAGGTCGATAGTGGTCAAGGAGGCATACGGCATGCATTCGTTCATCGGACGGGGCATTGAGTACAGGAGTTGGCGGGTCATGTTACAGTTGTGTAGGACTTTGGTTCTTTGGAATACTGCGTACAGTTCCGGTCGCCACATTACCAAAAGGATGTGGATGCTTTGGAGAGGGTGCAGAGGAGGTTCACCAGGATGTTGCCTGGTATGGAGGGCGCTAGCTATGAAGAGAGGTTGAGTAGATTAGGATTATTTACATTTGACAGACGGAGGTTGAGGGGGGACCTGATTGAGGTCTACAAAATCATGAGAGGTATAGACAGGGTGGACAGCAAGAAGCTTTTTTCCAAGAGTGGGGGACTCAATTACTAGGGGTCACGGTATCAAGGTTAGAGGGGAAACGTTTAAGGGAGATATGTGTGGAAAGTTCTTTACGCAGAGGGTGTTGGGTGCCTGGAATGCATTGCCAGTGGAGGTGGTAGAGGCAGGCACGATAGCGTCATTTAAGATGTATCTAGACAGATACATGAATGGGCAGGGAGCAGAGGGATACAGATCCTTGGAAAATAGGTGACAGGTTTAGATAGAGGATGTGGATCGGCGCAGGCTTGGAGGGCCGAAGGGCCTGTTCCTGTGCTGTAATTTTCTTTGTTCTTTGTTCTTTGTTCTAAACCTGATGAGCCACCTATTCACCCACTGCATCAAGCTTTTCCTGTCCTTATGGAGTTCCACACTGATCTCCTCACTGTTCTCAGTGCTTCTTATTTTTGTAAGATCCGGAAACTTTTAAACTGACTCCTGCACACCAGGATCTAGTCACTTTTTTAAACTTTTTCATTTTGAGGTATAGCAAAGATGGGGAAGGTACAGGGGTATGAGATAAGATGTAGCAAAAACATTGTGCCAAATAGTTCAAGAAAGACTGGGTGCTATGATCTTCAAAGATGCATTCCTTGCAAGTACAGCATCGTAATCATTTAAGAATGCAACACTGAAAAGAGAATCTCCTCCTAAGCAACACAATTGATTTACTGCTTAATGATTTTATTCAAATGATACTACAGCCAATCAGCCTTTAATTAAATCTATTCAGTTATAATAGTAAAATACACAATCAACAGATTGAATATGCCAGCATTTGTTCAGAGGAAGCAATATCTCAGTTCTTTGAATAAAATGAGAAAAGTTCTTGAAAGGCCCAAGCTATTAGCTCTTCAGGAGAGAAGCATTCAACATGGACAATCAATTCCAGCTTTCATAACGAAGTAAGAAGTTACATTTTCAGGGTGTATTTCAAGACCTCAGGACACCTTAAAGCGATTCACAGCCATTGAAGTGTGGTGATATTGATTGAAAGATAAATATGCTCAGACTTTAGAGTTAGCTCTATTTCAAAACAGTATTACTGACACTTTTACATCCATTGAAAAGGGCAGACAAGCCTAAGTTTAACTTTTATCTGAAGCATTATCCCTCTGATAACTATTGAGTCTCGAACGAGCAGTCTTCCAATTCAGAGGTAAGAGAGTGCTACCACTGAGTCATGGTTGACAACTTTGTAACTTCAACCCAGCTTTGAAAACTCAAGTAGAAAAGAGCAAAAATAGATCCACACGCCAGTCAACTTTAGGTAATGGGAAGTAGCCTCATGCTCAGGAATGTTTTTGTCCCCTTAAAGATCTTGGTTGACTTGTGCATCTCCAGCATTTTAGGGGGATAAATTTCAGCCGAAATCTTGTTGTGTTCCAGTTATTATCAGCTGACACAAGCAGTTACACATACATTTGATGGTCTTTTATTGATCAGCTCTTGTGATTCAATGGATGATACTTCTGTTTCAGTGTCAGAAGGCTTTGGGTACAAATCTCACTTCAGAGATTTTAAAGAACATAATCTAAGTTGACAATTTCTGTATAGTACTGACTAAATACTACACTGTTGGCAGTGCTGTCTTCCAGACATGAGGCTAAGCCAGGACCTCATCTCCAAAAGATTCCACTTCATTATTTTGAAGAATAGGCAATAGCTGATTTGACTTTCATTTCATTGTTGATATAAGACATTGTACAAATTGGTTGCCAATATTTCTATATTACAATAGGAGCTACACTTTTTAAAAGTGCTTTTTGTAAATCTCTTCAGGATATTCTGTGCTTGCAGAAAGACCTATAAAATACAATTCTTTATTTATCATCATTAACTCATTTGAAATATGCTTGCTGATAACATTAAGGCAAAGAATACCATTGAAAATAAAAAGTGTATAGTTTCCTATACCGCCAGCTGTATCCTTTAAAGTGTAAAATTATGGCCACTTCTAGATGAGGAAGAGTTCTTCATGAATTATACAGGATGCCGGATCTTCTCTTCAACACTCCAGGCTGCAAGCAGAATTGGTGAAATTGGATAAAAACTTTGCCACTCTGTGGAAATGCTTCAAGTATTGGCGCAGGGAAGGAATACAGTCCTGTAGGATTCACTGGCAACTTGTTGCAATCACTTTCCAAATATGTTTCCAAGAAACAACCCAGAGTTCAAAATGACACGTCAGTCTCTTAAAAACAAATTGTACAAGGTTAAATTGGAGGGAGTACAAGAATCTGTAATAGAATCCCTACAGTGTGGAAGCAGGCCATTCAGCCCATTGAGTCCATACCAACCCTTCAAAGAGCAGCCCACCCTATCTTTGTATTTCCCATGGCTAATCCATGCACATCTCTGAACACTACGGGCAATTTAGCATGACCAATCCACCTAACCTGCACATCTGTGGACTGTGGAAGGAGTCCAGAGCACCCAGAGAGGACCCACGCAGAAACAAGGAGAACATGCAAACTCCACACAGATAGTCACCCGAGGCTGAAATCGAACCAGAGTTCCTGCTCCTGTGATGCAGCAGTGCTAACCACTGAGCCACCATGCCACCATGCCACCTGCTAATAAATCATAAATGGAAATAAATTACAAATAAAAATTCATTTTACATAATCGTGCAGTACACAATTGTACAACACCGAAGGTCACAATTTTGCAATCATGTCAGGGTTAGTTGTTTTGAAAGGGCTTTCCAATTTGTCTCACTCTTGTGCTCTCTCAATAGCATTGTTATTGCAGCAATTAACATGGAAAGTTCAAACCTGAAAAGGATCAGCGTATTTGTGTCAAATTCTTCCTCTGTTGCTTCAATTTGTCCTTCCAGGGAACATGATAACATTCAAGGAACAGAAATGTTCCAAAGGGTTGTTACATTTGAATCTCACAGCTGTCTACTACAGTTAACAGTTCCAAAATATTAGTTCTATTCAATACTGCCCAGGAACAAGGGTCAGACATGTTATTTTTTGGGCCAGTTTGTTGGAGAAGAAAACAGCGAAGCAATCTCCAATGCCAAAAGAATGGTTTAGCTGCACTGCTGAAAAAGGCAATTGACTTATACTGAGTCTGTGCAGTTGGGGACTCAGTGAGAAATCTATAGCTTTTGGATGGCTCTATGTTATTAGAGGCTCTAGGAATTTGAGGTGTTTGAGTCAGGGCTCCAGGAAAAGATCCTGGGATCTGTGAGTGCTCAGAAGAAAGTATGATATTATTAGATTGGAGAAGGTACAGAAAAGGTTTAAAAAGGATGTTGTTACCAGGACTGGAGGGCTTGAGTTATAAGGAGAGGCTGGATAAGTGGGGATTTTTTTCACTAGAGCGTAGGAGGTCAATAAGTGACTTTATATAGAGGTTTGTAAAATCATGAGCTATAGATAAAGTGAATCACAAAGGGCTTTTCCCTAGGGTAGGGGAGTTCAAAAATAGAGGGCATAATTTTAAAATGTGGGGAGAAAGATTTAAAAGGGACCTGAGGAGCAACTTTTTCACACAGAGGGTAGTTCATATGTGGAATGAGTTGCCAGAGGAAATGGTAGATGCAGGTACAGTTACAACTTTTAAGAGACATTTGGACAGGTACATGAATAGGAAAAGTTTAGAGGGATATGGGCCAAATGCAGGCAAACGGGACTAGTTTAGTTTGGTAAACTTGGTTGGCATGGAAGAGATGGACCGAAGGATCTGTTTCCACGCTCTATGGCTAGAATACCTTCATTAGAATTTCAAGGCACAGACAGAGAGACAGACTGTTCAATACAACTGAGTATGAATATATCTTGTGAAAATTCAGGGGGTAGCATAAAATTGGTGTATCTCACTGTTTCTGAAAAGCTGGAGTTGTGGCCTGAGGAAATACAGTTTTGAGGAATGCAGGGAAGTGTAGATGGACCACAGTAGTCTATAAATGTTAACAGTCTAGAACACTCCATCAAGTCTATGGATGGATATTTAATTCAACCATCAACAGGTTTGTTAGGTTAACAACAAAACCTAGATAACAATGATACAGAAAGTCAGAGTCATAGAGGTCTATGGCACAGAATCAGTCCTCAAGGCTGCTCCACCATTCAGTAGGATCATGGCTGATCAGACATTCCTCATGTCCATTTTCTCCTCACCCTTGATTCCCCTACTGATCAAGAATCTAACTCAGCCTTAAGATTTTGACCCCACAACTATCTGTGGCAAGGCGTTCCAATGACACGCAGACTTCAGAGGTGAAGTTACTCCCCATCTAAGTCATAAATTGCCACCCTCTTATTCTGAGACTATGTCCTTTGGTTCTAGACTCTCCCATATGGGGAAACATCGTCTCAGTTTTTACCCTGTCAAGCCCCATAAGAATCCTATGCATTTCACTGAGATCACCTCTCATTCTTCTAAACTCTACTGAGTAGAGTCCCAGACAACAAGATGCAGGGCTGGATGAACACAGCAGGACAAGCAGCATCTTAGGAGCAGAAAGGCTGATGTTTCGGGCCTAGACCCTTCATCAGAAAAGGGGGAGGGGAAGGGGGTTCTGAAATAAATAGGGAGAGAGTGGGAGGCAGATAGAAAATGGATAGAGGAGAGGATAGGTGGAGAGGAAACAAACAGGTCGAAGAGGTGGGGATGGAGCCAGTAAAGGTGAGTGTCGGTGGGGAGGTAGGGAGGGGATAGGCCAGTCCAGGGAGGACGAACAGGTCAAGGGGGCGGGATGAGGTTAGTAGGTAGGAGATGGGGGTGCGGCTTGAGGTGGGAGGAGGGAATAGGTGGGAGGAAGAACAGGTTAGGGAGGCGGGGACGAGCTGGACTGGTTTTGGGATGCGGTAGGGGGAGGGGAGATTTTGAAACTTGTGAAATCCACATTGATACCATTGGGCTGCAGGGTTCCCAAGCGGAATATGAGTTGCTGTTCCTGCAACCTTCGGGTGGCATCGTTGTGGCACTGCAGGAGGCCCAGGATGGACATGTCGTCTGAGGAATGGGAGGGGGAGTTGAAATGGTTCGCGACTGGGAGGTGCAGTTGTTTATTGCGAACCGAGCGTAGGTGTTCTGCAAAGCGGTCCCCGAGCCTCCGCTTGGTTTCACTGATGTAGAGGAAGCCACACTGGGTACAGCGGATGCAGTATACCACATTGGCAGATGTGCAGGTGAACATCTGCTTGATGTGGAAAGTCTTCTTGGGGCCTGGGATGGGGGTGAGGGAGGAGGTATGGGGGCAGGTGTAGCACTTCCTGCGGTTGCAGGGAAAAGTGCCGGGTGTGGTGGAGCTGGAGGGGAGTGTGGAGCGGACAAGGGAGTCATGGAGAGAGTTGTCCCTCCGGAAAGCAGATAAAGGTGGGGAGGGAAAGATGTCTTTGGTGGTGGGGTCGGATTGCAGATGGCGGAAGTGTCGGAGGATGATGTGTTGGAGGTTGGTGGGGTGGTACGTGAGGACGAGGGGGATTCTTTTTTGGTTTTTATTGCGTGGACGGGGTGTGAGGGATGAGGTGCGGGAGATGTGGGAGACACGGTTGAGGGCGTTCTCGACCACCGAGGAGGGGAAGTTACGGTCCTTGAAAAACGAGGACAACTGAGATGTACGGGAGTGGAATGCCTCATCCTGGGAGCAGATGCGGCGGAGGCGAAGGAATTGGGAATAGGGGATAGCATTTTTGCAGGAAGGTGGGTGGGAGGAGGAGTATTCTAGGTAGCTGTGGGAGTCGGTGGGCTTGAAATGAATATCGGTTTCGAGGTGGTTGCCCGATATGGAGACAGAGAGGTCCAGGAAGGGGAGAGAGGTGTTAGAGATGGTCCAGGTAAATTTAAGGTTGGGGTGGAAGGTGTTAGTGAAGTGTATGAACTGTTCGAGCTCCTCGTGGGAGCACGAGGCGGCGCCGATACAGTCATCAATGTAACGGAGGAAGAGGTGGGGTTTAGGGCCGGTGTAGGTACGGAAGAGGGATTGTTCCACGTAACCTACAAAGAGGCAGCCGTAGCTTGGGCCCATGCGGGTACCCATGGCTACCACCTTGTTGTCTCGGATTCTCCAGCATCTGCATTTCCTACCATCACTTTCTGGGCATCATTTGCCATCTCTGTCCTATAGGGACTCCAGCATTTCAAACTCCAGTCTGACCATATACATGTAATTGTGCAGGTCAGTGACCAGAATCCTCACAGAGGTCATGCGCCTTTATTCCATGGCAGTCCACTGATTGATCGTAGCAAACTGGACAAGGAATACCTGCTGGTCACACACAATTACACACACACACACACACACACACACATGCAGAGTAACACACACACACATACACAGTAACACATATACACATACAGAG